ATAAAATTGTACCTAATTTACGGAAAGCTTTATCTAAGAGGAGATGGATGTACCTAAAAAGTAAATATGTATTTCTATTTCCCATCGATACCACATCAACTTCTGTGCTCACATTAAACAAATTTTGGCTATGAAAATAATCTCTTCGAGCAGCACGAGGCAAAACTATGTTGTAGAAAAGGTGATTTCATTTATTTGTATATAATTTTTTTGTATTTTTATACCTTTCATGAGCATGAAATGGTATTATAACTTTGGTCCGATGTTTGTAAGTACCAGAACAAAAAGAGATAGACCCATGAAAATGTATACTTATATGATCAGAACGTCGAGCTGAGTTGATTTAGCCATGTCCGTCTGTCCGTCTGTCCGTCTGTCCGTCTGTTTGTATGCAATCTAGTCTCTCAGTTTTCGAGATATCCGGATCAAATTTGGTAGATAGGTGTATTTTTATAATGTATTAATCATTTGTCGGAACCGGACGAATCGGACCACTATAACATATAGCTCCCATACAACTGATTGTTCAGATATGAGATTTTTCATTATAACTTCTCCATTTATGCAGCTACGAACATGAAATTTTGCAATACTTGCACCCATTATCAACAGAATACTTACAGTGAAAATTGCAAAGATCGGGTCACTATAACCTATAGCTCCCATACAACTGATTGTTCAGATATAAAATTTTGCGTTATAAATCCTCCATTTATATAGCTAGGAACATGAAATTCCGCACTGTTTTCAATAATTATCAACAGAAAACTTACAGTGAAAATTAAAAAGATCGGGTAACTATAACCTATAGCTCCCATACAACTGATTGTTCAGATATGAGATTTTTCGTTATTATTCATCCATTTATGTAGCTAGGACCATGAAACTTCGCGCTGTTTTCACTCATTATCAACAGAAGACTTACAGCGAAAATAACAAAGATCGGGTCACTATAACCGGCAGCCCCCATACAACTGATTGTTCAGATATGAGGTCTTTTATCATAACTCCTCCATTTATGCAGCTAGGAACATGAAATTTCGCACCATTTTCACTCATTATTAACAGAATACTTACAGTGAAAATAACAAGGATCGGATGACTACAACATATATCTTCCATACATCTGATTGTTCAGATATGGGATTTTACTGTAAAACTCCTTTATTTGAACAGCTAAAACCGATAAATTTCGTAAGATATTTTGTAAATAATAATACAAAGTCTACTGAGAAAATCGGCAAAATCTATGCTGTATAAGCTTTATCTCCTATAGCACTGATTGTTAAGATACCAGTTTTTGCCATATATCTCCTTTATGTACGAAACTAAACCCAATAAATTGTGTTACCGGTTTACATACCGATCACATAGCGGTGAAAATCACTTAGAGTGGTGTCATATAAAGTATATCTTCCATACCTCTGATTGTTTAGATGCGATTTTTTATATAAGTATGTAACTCCTCTATCGATGTATGCAGATGTATTCAAAAGCAGTAATCTGTCAAAGTAAAATTTGCAGATGTTCATGAAAGGTATGAAGCCTTCGGCATAGCCGAAGACAGCGCTGCTCTCACTTGTTTTTTTTTTAATTTTTACATTTTGTTTTATAAATGAAAATATTTTTTCTTTTATTTGTGTATATTTTATCTGTAAGTATTACTTATTTTTATTTAATTTAAAAAAAAAAAATTATTTAATTTAAATTTAATTTTAATATTAAAAATAAAATAAAAATATATCTATCTAATTTCATTTAATTAAAAAAAAAAAGTATTTGTAGTTAGTTTTGCTTTTGTCTTTCGAAGGACTGTGGTGAGTTGAAAGACAGTTACCAGAATTGCCCTGTAAAAACTATGACTTCAAAACGAATACATTTGATATATTTATTTCTTTCAGAATTTATTTCCAGTACAAATTTCCATTATATCTTCTCTCACTTAACAGCTGTTGAGAAAAATTGTCTTCATCTACGGAAAAAAGAAATCATATTTAAGCTGTAGTGACAGCGAGTTCCGTAGAAACTGGAAAAGTAATGGAAGGAAAATACTCTTCTTCAGGGACAAAATGAAGTAACTCCACTTTTAGTAGTTAAAACATTTTTGTAAATTTCTGTTTAATGTCTGCTTCTTTTTCAATTTTTTATAACTTGCGTATACTACACTTTTACGCAAAAAAATCCTTTTAATCCTTTTGTTCAAAGGCAAAACAACAAAAGCGCATCCCATACAATTTCCGCCGACCCACATAAAGTGAGATGTCTAGCTGGAGGCGTAGAAAACGTATTTCATTTATTTTTTTGTTTGTTTACATTAGTGCTTGCTGCAAAACACTCATAAATGTACGGCATTGTGGCACTAATGAAAATCAAAAATTCACAAACAATGTTAAAAAAAGCGTTGTAAAATCGACAAAAAAAATTGGTAAATCCGGCCGAAAAAAATTACAAACCAGCCAGCAGCATTGTAACTGGGAACACATGCAAAACTAACTATCGAAAGTAATAGTTGTTGCAATAATTGTTGCAGGCTGTGGCAAAGACAATGTCCATACATATGTATGTACATACATATGTATGTACATACAAAAACACATGTGAATGTTGCATGAAAATCATTCAGGCGCAAAATAAAAAAAAGAAATAAAAAATGCAACATTATTTTTGGGGAAACAACCGACGAGCCTTTTGAAATCGAACCATTAATGTTGAGTGCGCAACAACACGCGTACAAAGGCGTATGCGTTTATGGTGTGATATATGTACATACATGCATGCATATATAGATTGCTCCAGATCTTACATACATGCACACGCGCAAGAGTTATGGCAGTTCAGTTATCGTATTTATATCCATTTCGAAATTATTTTAGACCTTGAGCTAGCAAAAAAAAAAACACAGGCCTGCGAAATTTAAATTTTGTTTTCCCCCTAAAAAATTTTGTTAATTTTTTTAATATCTATGTGTGTTAAATTTAAATGCAACTTGCAATTTTTTCTAACACGTCGAGATTTTTCTTATTGATGACATATACATTTTATGATTTTTAGCAATTTGCAAGGAAATGGAATTTTTTTTGTATATCAATTTTTATTGGAAGTGTTCGTGTAGTATTGAGTTATATTAGGTTTTTTAAGTTTGTTTTTAAAATTCTTAAATAAAAATGCAATTGAATTATAAAAGAATCATGTTTACGTGTACCTTACATGAAATTGGTTGAAAAAAATTAGTTTTAAAAAATCATATTCAGAAAAACTTTCAATATTATATGGTACAAAATCGCGTCTTAAACAAAAGGTCGGACACGGTCGGATTCAGTATTTAGTATTACTAGAGTGCTTTGTTAGTTGAAAGAACTCGATGCATTACGAGAACTCGATAAATTTCCTTAACTCTATGAATAATGATTATTCAATAAATATCGTTAACTTGATCAGCTTCCTTAACTTGACAAATTTCGATAATCCCATAAATTTTTATAGCACCACAACTACCGTAAATTTCGAAAATTAAGTTTCAGTGTCTATAAAAACTACGTCCAAATGCTATTCTTAATATATTTTTTTTTTTTAATTTGCCATTTTTGCCATGAGAAAATTTTGTTGAGCCGTGTTATCAGGGACATGCAGGGACATGTCTAAATTTGGGAACTCATCTTTATTCCTTTGTTGTCAGCGCTCCGTCCGACGAAATTCGTCAGCAATTTTTTTTCTGCTTACACTTTAACTAAACGCAACAATAACAACAGAAAAGGTTTTTTTTTTTAATAAGTAATTTCCGTTTCCACAACCAAACCTTTGGAAAGAAGGAACATCCCTAATATTAACAACAACATTTATGTTTATACATATCCTTTAAATTACCTCCTCCTGGTTTTTGTGCCTCAAATTCAAACATTGGCTTAGAAAAGTGTGCATGGCAACGCGATTTTCTCGCAAACAATGAGACAACAAAAATTTGGTAACCGACAAAAAAATTGCAAAAAACATTGACGCAAACCAATTTTTTATAAGTGCAATCTCTGCGTTAGTATGTGCAAAAAAGTGGGTGGGTAGGTGGGCGTGTGCGTGCGTGTGTGTGTTTACTGGCTGTATGAGTTTTTAATGCCGGATGTGCTAACTGCATACCAAAGTGGTAACACTTTACAAAACGACGTTGCGCATTCGCGTTGCGGATGTACACAGTTACTACTAACTACTACATACCACTCCGTCGCCAATCATGGCTGCCGGCGGTGATACCACAAAGGCGTTTCTCTGCATTTATTCATGCATTTTTTTTCGTTTTGTTACTTTTTTTGTCGCCTTCAGTGTCAACAGCGGATGTTGGCTTGGCATGATTCTATATCGTTGCAAATGTTTATGTTACAAATTGTTTAGGTTTTTTTCTACATACGCGTATTAAACCACATGCATATGTACCGACATATGTAAATTTATGTTTTGTTCTCATTTTTTTCTTTACTCCTTCTCGGTATAAAATTGTTACAGATTAAAAATTTTTATTTAAATTTAATGATCGTCATAACGCTTATGTCACTTGGCCATTTTTACAGTGTTTGGTATGCGAAAGTGGAAAGTAATTACTTTTGCAATCGATTCTGGACATTTTATATAGCTTTTGTTTGCAGTGTAGCTTTCCTTAAAATTTAAGATTTAATCTATGTATAACATAACAAGTAATTTTTAGCAAAAAAAAAACCGACTTCAACTCCCATATAAAAAAAAAATATATATATCTCAAGATCCACTGATCGGATCTCAACCAGATTAGTATGGGACTACCTCTGAGTCACTACCTTTCCGATTCAAAAAGAATTATCGAAATCGGTTCACGTGGCCCAAAGTTATGCGGTAACATACATAAAAAAAAAAATAAAAAATATTCCGACGAACTGATAACCTCCTCCATTTTTGGAAGTCGGTTAAAAAGAGCATCCACTGACATCTTTCACCAAGTCAAAAAAAAAAGTCTAACTATTCCCCATTTTTATTTTCAGATACTGGGCGGTGACTAACATCGACTACATTCACTCGCGTACAAGTAAGCGTGTCTTTCTTATGATATTTTGTGTTTGGTCGGCGGCAGTTATAGTGTCGTTGGCGCCACAATTCGGCTGGAAGGATCCCGATTACTTGCAGCGTATAGAACAACAAAAATGCATGGTTTCACAGGATGTTGCATATCAGGTGAGTTTAAACTATTTAGTGATGAGCGGTTAGAGGTGCCTATTACGTTCCACCGTGCGTCACCCAGTTTTGATACCTGGTCAAAGTGGTATACCAAAAAAATATAGTAAAGGCTTTTTTTAAATGGCCTTCGCCCTTCGACAATGGCAAACCACCGAGGGTATTCGAGCTTATGAATTAATCCGAATAAGTTTTAATACGCTGAGTTCTAGCTGGTCAAAGTCAAAATTTTCTCGAATTTTTGCGATTTAAAAAAATTAAATTTTGTAATTTTTTTTTTTTTTTTATTAAAAAAATTTGGTGGACGTCTTCATTTTTATTTCATTTTCGTTCATAGAACAAAATAGTGTGATGTCACATGATATTGATATTTTAAGGGTGGGCCTAATTTGTGCCAACCTACTTTCAAATGTAGAGGATGGTAGTATTTTCCCGTACACAGTAAAGAAGACGGCTTTGAATACCCAAGGATAATTGCAAAAAAAAAAAAGTAAATCGTCACTAGACACGAATAAAGGCGCAACCTCAAAAGTTGACCGCGAAAAAAGGCGCGCAATGAAAACTTCAGTGAAGAAAGTCTCTTAACATAGTTGACGGCGAAGAAAGACGCGTTAAAATAGTTGACGGCGAAGGAGGCCGCGTAAACTTATTTTCGCGGTCAACTATGTTTGCGGGTGTAATAGTATGTACATTCCGTAAATAGTTCTTGGGGAATAATGCTGAAGTGACAGTCCTTGGCCAAGCATAAATCTATGATTAAGCGTTTTCCTTCGTCGAAGTTTTTCTTAAGCGCCTTTTTTCGTACAATTTTTTTTATGCGTATTTTTTCGCAGTCGTACCCCTAGCGCGCCATTATTCGTGTCTAGTGACGAAATGCTCCTGGGCCACACTGGAGAAGTGATACTTACGTTACATATCTATTTTGTCTCATAACCAACAATACTTTTACATAACCAACTTCTTTTGCTTAAGGTTATATTTTTTGTCTTTTTTCTGTCTCACCTACCCCTGTCCCTACCTATACCCCTGTTCGTTCTAATTACATTTTGTTATTCTATTTTCCTTTATCTTCATTTTTGTCTTTATACTCTATCGATAATAAAATCTATAGTAACATCCAACAAAATATCGATAACAAAACCAATAAAAATATCGATTACAAATTCGATCCAAATTTCTATAGCAAAAACGATAACAATATTGGTAACAAAATCGACTAGAAAATTTGTTAAAATATCAATAACTAAATCGATAAAAACATCGATAACAAAATCGATACCAATATCGATAACAAAATCGATAAAAATGTCGAAAAAAAATCGATAAAATATCGATAACAAAAACCGATTAGAAAATCGATTAAAATGTCGATAAAAAATCGATAAATAGTAGATAACAAAATCTATAAATGATCGACTACGGAATTGATAAATAATTGCTAACGAAATCGATATTAAGATTGTTAAAATATCGATAACAAAATCGATAACAAATTCGATATAAATTTCTATAGCAAAATCGATAATAATATTGGTAGCAAAATCGTTTAAAAAATTTATAAAAATAGCGATAACAAAATCGAAAATCTCTAAAATCTCAAAATAGGTCCCAGATTGAGTCTCTGTGTCTCTATATATATCCTTTTCACTATAATTACCTTTATCTTGATTTTTCTTCCTCTATCTTCGACTTCACTTTCATCGGTATCCTCATCCTCATTCCCATCTTTTTCTTTATACATATTTATCTTGACTTTTATGTTTATCATTTTCTTCATCTACATATTCCCCTTCACATTTGCCCTTATATATATATAAGTAAAGTGTTTAAATTTACATTGATCTTCATTTTTTCCTTTATCTTTACGCAATTGTTTTTGTTTTTATTTTTACCTTTGCCTTTATACTTTTCTTTATCTATGTACGTACTCACCTTTACTTTCATTCTTGTATTGGTCTTTTTTCAAGTGGTATTTTCAAGTGGGTTAAACTAATATCATGTGCATACACTCAAGAAGCACTTGGTTCAGCCCCAACCATTTCTGTTGCACCATTTCCGTTGCACCATTTCCGTGTGCAATTTCCGCTGAATTTGCCAATTTACTCCCAACCAACCAACCGCCGCTAAAGAAGCATCTACACCACATATTACCGTTGAACAGTGTCGGCTCTTAAAATCAAAGAATATGTTCCCATAAAATCTTGGCCACCTGTGGTTGTCTGGTTCAATGAAAACAGATATTAGCCACGTTGAATTTATTGACCAGGGATTAAGTGCGATTTAATTCGTCGACAAATAAGAAAATTTATTTTTTATTTGATTCATCAAATTTAAAATTGAAGTGTCCGAATTTAGCTTCCCTCCGAGGAAGGTATCATTTCAGCTAGACTAGAGCTTGTCGCGAGAAGAGCCGAGAGAGCTTTGGAGCCGTAAGAGCTTCGTTTCTGGGTGGAGAGAAATCCTTCCATTTTGCTTCTGGATTTGATTTTGTCCAGCATCCGTAATCAGATTGTGACTCGGGAGAAAATAATGTGCCGTACGTCAGCTGTGTACACCTAATCCGCTATATGTGGCTACAAGCCCCATCTTTTGCCTATACCCTTTGTGAAGTGAAACTTCTTTAGCGGCGGTTGGTTGGTTGGGAGTACATAAATTGGCAAATTCAACGGAAATTGCACACGGAAACACGCGAACAGGCCGGTATACAAATGTATCTTCCAGAGAATAATTTTCTCGCAAGCGAATGCTATTTGTTTGTCGCCGGGAAGAACTTTTTCGTGTTTACATACATCGCTAGGCCAACATCTTTTAACTTCATAATATAAATAACATACAAAAATTTAATTACATTCTTTGTGTCGTTTTCAGGTCTTTGCCACATGTTGCACGTTTTACGTGCCGCTGCTCGTCATATTGGTGCTTTATTGGAAAATCTATCAAACGGCACGTAAACGCATACACAGGCGACGGCCACGACCAGCCGATGTGACTGGCAACAATAATCAGGTGAGTAGCAATTAAAACAAAACCACTGTATTTTAAGCTTCAATGGCGTCTATGTGTTTAAACACACGCACGCACACACACGTATGTACACACAATCTTGTAAAATTCTTTATTTGAATTTATAATTTAATTAAATAATACCAGTGGTTTTACCCTCCTTCCCACCCAACACACGAGGGGCGCTGGCCGCATAACGTACGATTTTTTTTTTTTTTTTTTTTTTTTTTATCGATCTTTGTACCACGATTATAGCACTATATTTCGGAGATCACCACATCTCCTCATCAGACTTCTTTTTTCTAGACTTCAGCAGGGATCGAACCTGCGTAATCAATGTTCAAAGTCAGAAGCGTTAACCACTTAGCTATGTACATTCCGTAAACTCTTGTTGCTAAATCATTTTCCTTATTTTTTTTTGTGCCGAGTCTTGGAAAACGTGATTTTGTTAAATGTCGAGATCTAAGACTATTCAGCTACAGAATCAAATTCACCAGCTGATTGGATATGCTGAAGAAAGTATTTGAATTATTGAGAGGGGATAGTTTTCTTCCTTCGAGAGAAACGCATAACTTTACATTTTTTAAGGTTTAGGGGCATATAATTTGAATTACATCATCTAGACACGCTGCTTAGACCTTCTTATAACAAAAACGTTTCTTCGATATGGAATATCGTCACTCAACACGAAAAAAGGCGACAGCGAAAAACTATGCGTAAACATAGATGTATACCTAGCCAAGGACTGTCACTTCAGCATTATTCCTCAAAACCCTTTGGGGAATGTACATACAAGTACACCCGCAAACATAGTCAAATAAGTTTACGAGTCTTTCTTCGCCGTCAAATAGGTTTAGACGCCTTTCTTCGCTTCGTTTTATTTTATGCGTATTTTTGTTGGGGGTAAATAATCTTACTCTGGGTACCTGGCCATGTTAATATACTCGTAGATTGAAACGAATTTGCAGATCACGCAAGCACTTAAATCCCCACTAATAACAACAGAAAACTACACTTATCACTTATCACTTCCCGCCGAAATTTCGATTCACCTTATAACCAAATTCGTAAAATGCACCAATTTATACCAACAAATATAGTCCAAATAATTGTGTTCACATACGTATCCCTTGTCTTACATTTCAAATTCCTTTTTCTCTCTAAAACATTGTACATATCGAGCCCTAACCGCCAAAATAACGTAAGCGACATTTTTTTCAAAAATTTTCTTTTTGATGCAGAAATATTCCTAGAGCATCTAGATGCATTTCTGCATCAAAAAGAAAATTTTGAAAAAAATGTCGCTTACGTTATTTTGGCGGTTAGGGCTCGATATGTAGACTAAGTAAGCTTAAGGCCTAACTAGTTGCCATAGCTTTAAATACCTTATAGTTAACTTGTAAAAAATTTACTTTCATAAGATAACTGATAAAAAATAAAAATAGAGATATACATTGAGTACTAATAAAATTGGTATACTTAATCGTTAGTCATAAAAATTGTTGCAAATGATTACTTATACCAATTATAAAAATTACTTTGAATAATTACGACCAAAACTAGAAAATGCTAAAAGATTACTTACCCTTCCTTCTTGTGTGTGTCAACCAATGACTTAAAAAATCTTGTAAAAATACTATAATAAAAATGGTACTGTTTTTCTATTGGAATTATAAAATCTATTATATTTTAAGACGTCTACCAAAATATATCGGAAAAATATTAAGACTTAAGCGAGCTGGACCGATTTGAAAGTACCTCCAAAAATTAATAAAAATAGATTCTTAAAGATGTTGTTTGAAAAATCCCTTCAAATGACAAAATGGTTTAAATTTAAAAAATTTACATAAAAACATTAAAAAAAATAAATAAATAAATTTTAACAGAATCGTAATAATGAGGTTTTTGATGCTGTTTTTTAGCTTTTTTCAAAGATTGGTAGAAGAGAAACTTGAATAAATGCACCTAAACCCTTCGGATTTAGACTTGTGAGGTATCAGTGTAAAGGTATTTTCTCACCCTTTTTATTTCATTGCTAGGATAGGTAGGATGAACGAACATCATTCAAAGTTGAATTAAGATGTGTTGGCATTTGAAAAAAAAATCAATCTTTGAAAAAAGTAAAAAACAGCATCAAAAATCTCATTCTTACGATTCCGTTGAAAAGATTTTTAAATATTTGTATGCAGAATTTTTAAGCCTAATCTATTTTGTCACCTGAGGGGACTTTTTGCAAAAAGTTCTTTAAGAAACTATTTTTATTCATAAAAAAACTCCATTTTTGGAGGTATTTTCAAATCGGTCCTGCTCGCATAAATCTTAATATTTTTCCGAAATATTTTGGTGGACGTTTTAAAACCGCAACTTTTTTTGGTGATGCTGTCTAATGTACATACATACATAAATGGATCAAATAAATCCTAGTATAGTACTATATGTATGATTTTTTGTATGCACGGTTATTTTAGAAAAGTACAGGAAGACATAGAAAAGAAAAGCGAAAGGGAAAGCGAAAGAACAACCAGCGCACTTTTCTCCTCTGTTGTATGTTTAATATTTGCCACAACATTAACGGTTTCATTAACTTAATTGCTTCGCAACAATCAGCGTGCGCCTCCAGTGAAGCGTACCAGGTTTTCCCAACACATTTTGAACTTCAAACGCAAACATTGCTGACGCAGCACAATAACTAATTGCACTAACTGTTTTTACAGTTACTCGTACAATGCATTTCACTTTTTTCTTGATCATTCCAGCGCTGGCTCTAACCGGCCAGCAGTGAAGGGAGTAGTAAAGCGAGTGCGCCTAGGCTGTGTGGCGGTTGGTCAGTAGATAACTATAAATGGTCAACCACAAAATTTAATGTCAAGCGTAATGAAGTCCGATTGTTCAACCACAATTGCTGGTATGCCATTTTCTTCGTAGTTCTGTTATATTAGCTACGCTCCTCTACATAAATACGTATGTATGTATGTATCAGAGCTGCTTAGCAACGCGGTTAGGTACAGAAGAGAAATGTTTATAGAATGACAAAGAACGGTAGCCAGAAGGGTTACTAACTAAGAGGAAATTGTGCAATAAATTAAAAACCAAAAACAAGCGGCAATGAGCAGAATAACATCAAAAGCAGAATAAACGAAAAAAAGTTTAACAATAAAATAAAGAAAAAAATTTAAGAAAAAGTTAGTGAAGAAAACAATGTGGAAACGGAAAAAATTACTTAGCAGCAAAACAATTACTGCAAAAAGCAGAGAAAAACACAAAAAATGCGAGGTAAAAGAGCAAATAGTAAAACTACGAGGAAATTAAAGATAAAACTAATAAAATTAGTGAAGAGCGCGAACTTGCACGCAAAAAGTTGAAAAAGTGAAATAAACTTTTTTTGAGCCAGATAAATTTCTTTGATTGGAAAAACTTTTAAGCACAGTAAAGAATGATGACAAATAAAAAGAATTTTTTTTTTTAGATAAATACAAAACTTTAATTCCTGTTAAATGGCATGGCAGGATATAATGCCTTTAGTTTTGTTTAGTTAGTTACAATGCTTTGATGCAGAGGCTGTACCCGGAAGCATTTTGCACTAAAAAGCAAAGCAGATAGATAATTTTAGTGAATACCGCATTTTTTCTTTTTTTTTACAGCAAGAATAAAGCAAAAGTTGCCTGATATTTTCTGACCAGAGGTCAACCGAATGTTGTGACATTTTGTGTTGTTTTTTTTTTGCGGTTTTTTAAATTTGATCTGCACACAAACCGGTTTCAGCATTGTGTCATCTGCAGTGTCATTTCTCGTTCTGAGAACGCCGCAACCGGTTAGTCTTCAAACCAAATTTGACAACAGATGACGGAGAATCATTCAAAAATACAACATATGCCTACTCGGTCATTAAGCTCTCACAATTAAACGAGACTCAAGATGGCACAACGTCGACGCCAGGTTGTCTCCAAATTAAAATTGACAAGGGATGAAGGAAAGTCGTAAATCATACTTTTTGATCTTAAAGTTCCCGAAACTCCCAAAAAATACTGAAAAATGCCAAAGAAAATCCCGAAAATCACAAAAATTAAATCACCAAGGATACCCGGAAAGTTCTTTGTACCCCCATAATTAAAAGGCACTTTAGACATCGGTAACCAGGTCGCCGTATTTGTTCTTACAAGTGTTCGTCCTTGTTTGGCACCATTTTTTTATCGTGAGGGGTACAGCGCTCACAGAACTGGTCTTTAGCCACCTCGCCCTTCTTTTCCATGTCGAAAATCATTCAGAGTACTCGGTAATAGAGTCTCTCTCACAACTCAAAGTTGACACCAACGAGGACATCAACCAGCCGGGTAGAGGCACCTTCGTCGTTAACAAAGCGTACATTCCAAGTGCATTCCACATTTTCACATTTCATCATCACAGAAGGAGGTCTACTCCAAGGTTCAGTTTTACTTTTCATAGGAATTCGATTTTATTTGTGTAGCTTCAAGCCCAGCGCACAGCCCATTGCTGGGACTCGCTTCGGTTTCTATCCGGCGTATAATTGGTGTATACACCGGAAGTCGTAAGCTGCTTGAACCGGATGCAAAAAAAAACGGTTTTTGGCCACGCTCTATTGATAATCGATTACAAACTTCCCCAACATGTTTGGTTTTCTGCACTCCACCATAATTCTTGTCTTCAAAGACCTGTATGAAATTTACCGAGCAACTAGAATTTATTTTTTTGCTGTCCTCTTATTCTCGGCACCTTAGCCTAACCTAGCCCCCAACATCTTTTGTTAGCCGACCTATGTAAGTGCACCATTCCGTCAATAGTAAAAAAACATTTAACAATTTTCATATAACTGAATATTTTACAAACTCTAGAAAAACTACGATACACTTAAAATACCAAGACCACATGTGTTTTGATAAAGCTTACCGTCTTACCACAAGAAACACCTAAGTAAGCAAAACACAATTCATCAACAAATGATCAACTTAAACAGCCACAAGTGTTTTGAGCTGCCATTTAAGAAG